ACACACACACACACAGACAGTAAATTTGTCGTTATCTTGACGATAATTTAAATTCCCATGATTCTCCTGGTTTTTCAGAGAGGCCGTTGTTGCCGTCGATCGTCACTCAGAGAAAGAGACTGAAGAGTTTCTGCCACAGAGACGCTCGCGCCTGTACGGCATCACCACGACAACCACACAGTGTCCACAAGGTACAACGACAGAGGTTCACCCACAAGTGAAGATGTGGTTTTCAAACTGTTCCCTCTTGTCTTAGTGTTTGTTGAAGATCTTGAGTCTCGAGTGGTGAAGCAGATTTGGTCAGACTTTACACGTCGGCTCCGTTTGACACAAACGGTCACATCCACACAGACCATCATTTAGTTTGATCTCTTTTATCTTTGAGGCTTTTTAATGTTTTACATGATTTTAATTTCTGTGATAACTGCGTTGGGTCAACACACCTGTTCTCTTCTCGCTCAGTTTATAATTACTGCATCAACAACGGAGGCTGCTCTCACCTTTGTCTTCCGCGACTTGGCGGCTTCGCCTGCCGCTGCCCGGACGCCGCTGACGGCCGATGTGAGGAGAGGAAGTCGTGAGTTCAGCTGAAAGACGGGAAGCAAAAACAACTCAACTGAATCTGGGTGTTTTTGAAGTTTCTAACTTGAAATGAACATTTTCTTTCATCCTTTTGCTTTTTGGCCCCAAAACCTGTTCAGGCCTCACTGACACTATGATGTCACTATGATGTCACACTCTTCACTGTGATGTCACAAAGAGAACTTGTCCGTTGATGAGGTCTGTCCTTATTTCCTGTAAAACGTGTAATGCTATGAAACACTTCAACCACGATTTCTCATAAAACATCCCGTCACACGTCAGGTAAGATCGTTCTCGTCCTGTTCAAGTTGAATTCAGATTTAGTTCCTGATGTTTTCGTTATTTTGAATCTGAAAAAACATTTTGACCAGATGATGATTTTATGAAAACGAAAGAAAAACTTTTATAGTATTTTGTTATAAAACTCGAAAGTAAAATTCAAGTTGTGTGAAGTTTGTGATGATTAAAAACGTGTTCAAACGGAAGATTCTCGTGTTTTTCTTGTTGAATCTCACAAAACGCTGCAAACACATGAACTTTTTTCGTCCAATAAAAAACTGACACACGAGTGATTCTAAACACACAAGGTGATAAACAATGATCTGAACTCAAACTCATGATTCAAGACAACCTGACACACATCTGCAATATA